AGCCTTCTACAGGAAATTAACGGCGTAAAAGTATAAAAAATATATAAACCAGTCATTTTTGCCTATTTACTCATAAATAGCATTACTTTTTTTAAATGCATTTTAGACTAATTATGTAACAAGTCCGCATATTTGCCTCATGACAGAGATTTCTAAATTCTAAAAAAATTGTCATCTTATGTTTCAGAATTATATGTAACTAAGATATTTTAGAGACAATTCAAGAACACATTTTTGCGTAAGATAAACACTTCATCTCTAAAATAACAACAATCGAATATATTTTTCCATAGATAGCACTCGCCAGCATGCTCATAGATAAGATTCCTAAGAAACAACATTTCTTCGAGTAAAAAGTTTGGGTAGTCACCTAACTTTCCCCTTTGTCATGTCGTGGTCACCCAACTCATACTTGCGGCTGAAGGGTCACCCAACTCCCAAACTCACTGCCCCGTTCATCACCCGGCGTCCCAGCCGTTTGAAACCTTCCGACGTGGCTTCACGGCAGCTGAAGTGGCAATTGACGGCATCAAACTCGGCCAACGTGGACACGATTCGAGCTACAAAACACGATCCTTCGCTGAAAGAATCAAAATCCCCATTGTTCCTAAATTCTGAACCCCTGCCCTAAATCTATTCCCGTCAAAATTCTCCCTCAATTTGATTTGCAGAGTGTCGCCGTCTTCCAAGTGACCCGGAAACCATCCACGCACGGCCTGAAGGTTCTTCGACATCGTGAAAGAGGTAATGTCAAGAAGTTCCATATGCTATTTTGAATGGCCGAATCTGAGTTTGGTAATGCAATGTGGACCTGGTTTGAAATTAAATGTTGAAAATATCATGAAGTTGGGCTTATTGGTATTATCTTTCATTTACCAGTATTGAATTTTTTTGATTAATGATGTTGAAAATGTACTGTAATATCATGAAGTTCTATGGTTTTTCATGAAGTTAATATGATGAAGTTCCAGTACTGGTGTTATCTTTTCCTCTATTTATTGTTATTGAATTTTTTGGAAGTGGATGCATAAGTATGATGCAATGGTTATTTTTGCAGTTTTTGAATTTGCTCGACAAATGTTCAACAAGTGAAGGCAAGGATCTTTAGAAACTGTTTCAGTTTCAGGCGATTTTTCTTCTCCCTTGAAGTTGTTTCAGTTGCACTCATGGAGGGAGACCAAAGTGGAGGTAAGTACACAACAAATAGCAGCTGATTTAATTGTCTACATTAGAGGTGGAAGAAATATATTTGGTTTAATTTATTTTTATTTTTTTGCACGGATTTTTACAGGTGGTGAGGAAGACTCTGACTTCTCTCAATCGGATCTTGATATGGCCTCTGAGGAAGACGATATGCTGTATGATCTTAATGTGATAGACGGTATTGAATTTGGTATGGACAACAACATAGTAGGACAAGGTGAAGCAGTAGTGCTTCGAGGGGAAATGGATGAGGCCAACACATTTGATGACTTGGAGTATCCATCCTCCGAAGAGCTAATGCTGGAATGTTCATCAGACGAAGAGGTTGGTCATCGCTTCCCTGAATTCTTTGCTGAGACGGATATGAGAAATCCGAAGTTAGAGGTTGGACAACTATTTCGATCAATGCAAGAGTTTAGATGCGCGGTGAGAAGTTACGGTGCTCTAAACGGATATAATGTGAAGTTGAGGTGTAATGATAGGAAAAGAGCTCGAGGAGTTTGCAAACCGGGGTGCTCTTGGAGGATTTGGGCTTCGAAGTTGAACGAGACTGAGACGGTGCAAGTGAAGTCTTACACGCAAGAACACACATGCACACGGAGTAAAAACAACAGACATTGCAACTACATTTTCTTGACACATCGATATATTGAACAATTTAAAGTAGATCCTAATTGGAAGACAAAGTCCATTTTGGCGACTGTAAGGAATGATCTGAAGACGGAAATAAGTAGAAATGTTGCTTGTAAGATAAGGCAATATGCGAAGGAGATCCTGTTCGGTACCTTGCAGGAGCAATTTGGCCTATTGAGGAGATATGCTGCAGAAGTTTATAGAACAAACCCAAGATCTTCTGTATTCATCACCCTGAATGAGCAAGTATTCAAGGGAATATATATATGCTTTAGTGCCTGCAAAGCCGGGTTTAGGGATGGTTGTAGGAAAGTGATTGGTGTTGATGGGTGCCATTTGCGGGGTTGTTTTGGTGGTATTATGTTAACGGCAGTTGGACAGGATGCTAATAACTGTATTTACCCAGTGGCGTATGCCGTCGTCGAAAAAGAGAATACGGAGGTGTGGAGATGGTTCATGAAGTCTCTGGCTGAGGATATTCAAATGGAAAATGGATGCGGGTGGACATTGATGACTGATAAGCAAAAGGGGCTTCAGAACATATGTGATGAATTGTTCCCGAAGGCAGAACATCGATTGTGTGCGACATCTGTACACAAATTTTTTCAATGCGGGATTCAAGAGCAAAATTCTTAAGGATTATCTTTGGCGTGCGGCGAAGTCCACAACCGTCACCGAATTTAAAATGTGGATACAAAAACTTCGCGATGTGAGTACTGCTGCTTATAATTGGTTGATACAGAGGCACCCTCAGGAGTGGAGTCAGTCACATTTTTCGGTGCGTTCGAAGAGCGATATGGTACTTAACAATGGCTACGAAGTGTTCAATAAGACATTGTCAGAGGACAGAGAGAAGTTGATACTGAATATGCTGACATCGGTGCATATGACTTTCATGACAAGAATACAGAAAAGGCGAGATAAGATGGTAGGATGCCATGGTCGTTTGTGTCCAAAGATTCAGAAAAAGTTGGATAAGACAAGCGATATGTCAAGGGAATGTATTTTGCACTTTTCAGGGGGGCCGAAGTGGCAAGTAGAATGCAGTTATGGGACATTTGTCGTCGATCTCGAGAAACGAACATGTGCGTGCAGAAAATGGGATATCACAGGTATACCATGTATGCATGCCGTTGCCGTGATACGGGACTGCAGGAATCAACCCGAAGATTTCGTTGACAACTGTTATAGTATTGAGACATACATGGGATGCTACAATAATATTGTGAACCCAATTAATGGAAAATTATTGTGGCCTGAAGTAGATGCATCTACAATTTTTCCCCCCAAGTGGACCGTGCCTCGTAGGGGAAAAAACAGAAAAAGAGGCGAAAACAGGCAGAAGAAATGGTTGTGTGCACGAAGGGAAAAGCATATGTGAAGAAGAAGGGGGTTGTGACGATGACTTGCTCGCAATGTGGATTGAAGGGACACAATAAGCGATATCATTCCAGTGCAAATGCGCCAGTTGATGTAAGCGTACCATTTTATTTGTGCATTTAAGTCTGACATTCATTCTGAATAATGTCATATTGTTAATTTCTATCTTACCGCAGGATTGGGTAGAAGCTGAAATACAACCAGTTGAAAATAATTGCAATGTATTGGTAAATGAACAAGTAAGATAAGGACTAGTTGCATTTTGTGGTGTCATTTACTAATTGTGTTTGGCCGATATTAATCATTATAGTTCGGTTTTAATAATTGTGTTTGGCAAGGTAAATTGGTTGCAACAAGAGGGAAGGGACCATTGAGCCAAGGCCGGATGGAAGAAAATCAAATGCAATTCATGCCTACGCCTACGATTTCTAGAGGATTGCCGACAAGGATATTAGAATATGGACCAGCAGCTACTTTTGGTCAATGAGTTGCAACACATTGCTGATGTTGAAATAGCCATGGTGGCTTTTTTGTCATTGGAGTCTGTATGTTTTGTTAAACTATTTCTTGGATGTCCTCTAGTGTGTGTGTGAGTTAGGAATGATTCCAGTTAGCTGCATAAAATTAGCTAGCTGTAAATTTTAAACTTTTGAGAACGCATTTTGAATTGGGTGTAGGCCTTTTGATGATGGGATATCAATGAAATACACTGGTTTTTGTCCATGGCAATATTCCTGTTATTTAGAACTTCTAAGTTTGTTGCTGGCTGTACAAGTTGGTTGGACTGCCCTTCATTTGGTCAGGAAATAGGATGTTCAGTACCTTCAAAAGTTCCTTTAGGTGAATCATTCAATGATTGTATGGATGAATGAACCAAAGATGGAGGAATTATTTTGTGTGTGGTAGTAATATTTCCTGTACCTGAACAAATGGCAGTGAATATTATTTCGATGATATCTCACATTCAGTCGGTTAATATGATATCCCAGCAGTTTAATATGTTGTAGTAATATGATATCCCAACAATTTATTATGGTAGTGATTTTTGTGACTTTAAAACAGGGAGATGGCAAAGATGGCAGGGGACTAATACTGTTTCCATTTATGGTTAAACATTTTGAGTTGATGACAATGATTTCGGTGATGTTGTAAGCATCCAAAAAGTGAATTGCCATTAAATAGGACAGCAAACTCGAACAAGTAAATAAGATCTTGTATCAATAACTGAATTAGTGTGAACATCATTACAAATAAAGGTACATAAAACCGAAGCAAAATACTAAGCCGAAACAAGCACAGTTAGAAATGAAGCAAAATACTACGAATAAATGTATTGAAATCTGATTTCTGTTGCTTTCAATTTTCTTGCTAAAATCTCCAGCAGAGCCCTCAAATGCCTGAAAATTGAAATTGGGAGTTTTCATCCCATCCTTTGGTAAAGAATCTGAAGAAGCTGATATTGAGCTCTTAGCAATAGAACCATGCCCAACTTCCTAACCAGAACCACCACTATTCCCACCGTCACCAGACAAATTGAACGAAATTTCCCCATAATCCATACTCATCCACTCTGCTGATACTACCTTCTTGGAGCTATCAATCACTTTGGAGCCGAACATAACAAAGTTCTACCAATCCCACCTCGTATTCCACTCCATCTCAGATAAATAATTCATCAACCAGACTTGCTCAATTTTCCTTCTACATGAAAAGCACAAGCAACTGGGCATCACATTTGCAATCACCAATATCATGACCACTTAAAATATGCTCAAACAGATGGATGTAGTTCTCAGTAACCGTATCATGATCTGCAATCACCAATATCATGACCACTTAACATAATGGAAATAGTTCTCAGTAACCGCAGGCCAAGCTAAAGACTATTGCTAGCAAATCTCAAAGCAGGCAACAAATTCACATTCAGGCAAATCTCAAACCAGGTAACAAATTCACATATGCCCCTGTTACCTCTTTCTCGTTTTGAAAAATGTCGGCTACCGAACCGTGGGTTTGTGAGCAAAATCAGTTTCGTGCTGCCAGGAAGACGAAGACGAGGATGCGTCTCGGTTCCAGTCACTGAAAATTGGGTTCAATTGGGACTGGAAATCGCTGAAAAATCGAGTTCAATTCGCTAAAAATCGTTCTCCTTTGGTCGCAATTTGGGACTGGAATTATGGCTTTTCAATGAGTAAAAAGCTTCATTACTAACTGAAATCGCGATTTGGGACTGAAATTCGAGCTTTTCGAAATCGAATTTAGGGGAATCGAATCCTAGGGTTCTTCTTCGTTGCCGGGTTTGAGCGAGGGATTTGGGAATTTCAATTTCTGAGATAGGATTAGGGCTTTTCATTTGAAGTGGTGGTGTTTTCATTTTCATTTGGTGAAAGTCGTGATTTCTCCAGCCACGGAGTCGTGTTTTCATTTAGAGGAGATGTTGCTAACGTGCCACGTAGACTACCGTCATGCCACGTTAGACACCCTTCCAACGGCTGTTTGCTAAGTGATGGATGGAGGTCACTTCATGTAAGTTCAGTGACCAGCCAGAAACATATCAAAGTTCAGTGACTACATCATGACCGAAGGCAAAGTTCAATGAGTGATGAAACTTTTTACTCACATTTCTTCCGCCATTTTACTCCAAAAGAATTACAAATGAAATAAATAGAATATAATTAAAGGATACCAACTTAGAACTCTAACGAGGTTGAGAAGTCCACAGATATCTTCTCAATATAAACAAGACGAAGTAAAACACATCGAATTGGTAAAATCAAAAAATGTTGATTGATAGACATTGCATAGTAGGATTATTCACAAATTTTACCCTTGTTTGATTTTTATTTTGAAAATTACTTTTTCCCAAGCTCATTTTTAACAACACAATATCCCAATAAAATAATTTTGGAAGTAGACTCATATCTTTTCCTACATTTTGGCCAAACACTCAAAAAAAATAAAAAATAAAATTGACTTTTAACAAGATCGCTTCTCAAAAAATCAAAACAATGGCTTAATAAAGAATTATGTTACATTCATAAAGGGATCAATAGTCCATGCTAATATTTCTTGTTGATATTAAAAGAAAACTTGAGCTTGTTTATTTATCTTTGATGAGAAAATTCAAAGCGTTACAAGTTTTTTGTAAGAGTTGCTCGAGATTGAATGGAGCTACGGGCTTGAATTTGAGCTCAAGCTTAAGTAGATTGGATCTTCCTCAACAGCCTTGAACTCATTAAACTCAAACCATAAGACTGCACATTAACTTAATAAAAACCCAACTAAAACATACACAAGACCTAATTTAATTTCCTTGTTCAAAATTTCAAACTAATGGCACTTGCATATTACGAGACAGATTATTACTGTGAATAGATCAAATAAAAATCATATTTTCTATACTAACAAGGTTATATTGAATGCTAAAACATATACAACGGAATAAGAGTGAAAAATAATAAAATTAGGGTTGAGGTTCAGGGAATCACCCAACTAATACTAACAAAATAAGGATAGAAACCAACCAGAGTCATCTGAGGCATATCTAGAAGGAGAATACAGAGAGGGATCACGACACACCTTACTGGGTTCGTAGTCGATCTCAGTACCACTGCCACCAGATAGAGAGAGAGCAAAGATCTATCCACAAATTCATAGATTCCTACAAAATGCTGTTGTTCTTTACCTTTTTCTTTTCCGTTCTTCCCCAATTATACATCAAATTAAAAAGATATATACTGTCATTAAATTTATTCAAAAAGAATGCAAAGGGTAATGGTTTGCCTTCAATTTTTAGGAAGGCAATTCATACATAAAAAGATTAATCTAATTCAGATGGATTTTTCTAAATCGCTGTATTTTTTTTGAGCCTTGTACATGTAAGCTAAAAGTTGATGTAACCCCTTTCGGGGGGAATTAAATGCATACGTATTAAATCTATATTGTAAGTAGACTTGAAGCAATAAATTGTTATCCATGCATATTAATTTTCTATTTTCGAACATAAAACTACAGTAAAATTAGTCCTTTTGATGATGTTCAGCAATTAAAATGAGGCCTAGAGTATCGATTTATGAGTTAAAATTTCTGAATTAAGTCCTCTGTGATTGCAGTCGTAAATTTTGCCAAAAACAAACAGCAAAATCACAACTCAAAATCTTAGCGTGAAAAAGGCCCCAATGAACAGGAAAAAGTTTTCATTTTAATGACAATGCAGAGAACAGACCTCTGTCATTCTTGTCATTTGGACTTTCACCAGTCTCAATCTTCACAAATGTATCCCTATAAAAGCAATACTAAATCTAGTGCAGTATCAATAATGGATAAAAAATTTTCTTTTCTTTATACATGAAAGTAATCGGATTTAACATGACCAAAATGATAATAGACAAGGATATGCATACATAAATTTATTAAACCTTCTTAAGATGAGTTGTTGTCTTCCCCGGCTATATCATATAATGTACAATTATACCAGCAATTACTTGGTGAAGGTCAGATTCCTTCAATTGAATACAGTACAGCCTGTGTTCCAGCCTTGAATTCCAGCTTCATCTTCAGCTGGAGTACTACAACCTGTGTCTAGCTTTGTGTTCCAGGCTTCCAACTTCATCTAGAACAAGAGTACTAAAATCTGTGTTCCAACCGTGAGTTCTTGCTTCATCTAGGGCCGGAGTAGTATGACCTATGTTCCACCTTGTGTTCCAGTTTCATCTTCAGCGAGAGCACTATGGCCAGTGTTCCAGACTTGAAATCCAGGAATTTTGACATTTGAAACTGTATGTCACCGATTTTCGATTCAATTGGAGATAAACGGCTCAGTGTTGTGGCATCCACATGCAAAGAATTGTAAGAATCGAGTGTCTTTTCGTCAAATCTCAATGGTGTAGATGATGCAGCTGTAACAGAAAAAGGATTAGTTGCAATATCAGCTGGTTATCCGAATCTTAATTCACTACTTTATTTCTGTCAGCAGATGACCAATGCTGTACTTATTACAAGATTCCCCCAGTTATTCATTTTAGATTAGGCATTCTTAATGCAATCATACTTGATGAAGTGACAATGCAACCACTTGATGAAGGTTTCCGAGCAATTGTCCAGTCGTGCAAAGGTCTGAAGCATTTGCCAATCTCCGACCTCGAAACTAACCAAGTCTTTCTTTACATAGTAATATACGCTAAACAGCTTCAAATGCTGTGAATTGCCTTTGCTGGTAACAGCAACAAGGGAATGCTGTATGCATTGAATGGGTGCAAGAAATTAAGAAGGCAAAATGCGTGTATCTATTATCGAAAACAATTATTAATGGAATATAATAACTGCATACTTTATTTCAAACTTCGAAATATAAATAAAAAAGAAAAGAAAAGAAAGAATTGATGTAAAGGAGAACATGGTAGTTAACTGAAGTGTAAGTGCATGGCAATTTTATCAGTTCAAAAATATCAAATATCTTGAAAACCATCTTACCATTTTAATGGAGGCTTCAAGTTAAATAGGTCACTCGATCAGCCTTTCTTGCAATAGTTGTTTTTTGAAGTTTGCAAGAAGAAATCAATACAGAAAAAGAATGAATAGAAGAATATTATCATCTGGAACCTAAAATAAGGGGTTTGCAATAACTTAAGAATTCTGTGTTTCCATTATCATTTGCCACTCACAGGGAACCAGAATGTCGTTGCGAGGACCTGTAAAATAATATTGACTAATTGAATTGGATACTAAAACTGTCTCAGAGTTTCTTTTGGTTAAATGGAAATATGGATCATTTAGCAATTACATTCCTCTAAGAAGATCTAATGATGAAAGGAAAATGTGGCATTGTTAAAAACCTGATTGTTCTTGCTTTCTTCTTATTGTCCTCCGCTGAATCGACCTTGGTAACCGATCCAAACCATGGAAGCCTAGCTTTTTTCCTTGCTTTCTTGTCTACAAATGCAGACTGGACAAATCACAAATTTTAGAAGATAGCTAAAGTGTCAAACCAAGAAATCCAGTGAAAATTGCAAGTTGTGAAACAGAAATGGGCAATGCTAAAAAACCTCTCCACTCTTGCCTTCCTCTTTAGCTCCTCTAGTTGCTTTGATGATTCTGATCTTCGTGTGTTAGACCAATTCCAAATCTGTAATAAAACCAGTGCAATTGAATAGGTGCTCAATAGACAAGACACTATGGTCCCCATACCGTACTAAAGTAAACAATGAAAATTATGGTAAATGCAAATGACTGCAGAAACATGTCAAGTACAGACAGAGTCATCATCAATCAAGCTATCCATTAGATTTGGAATTTGAAACATACACAGCCATATGTGGCTTCATGCTTAAGTAATATGAGATTAGAGCTTGATGGTCACATGGAATACATAGTACATCGATCTATTTATTTGGTTTGAGGGGATGGGATTAGGGAATAGAGGGAAAATTAGGATGAAATGGAGAGGAAACAATATATTCTATGAAGAAAAAAGAATGTGTTGTACAACTAGAACATCTCCTCCCTTAGGCATAGGTGTTAAGGGTAGAATTTTGTTCACATATTATATCTAGGAATTTACTCATCTTAAAAGCAATTTTTATTTTTCTTCTAGAAGAATAATGGGATTTATGCCGGAACGTGATTGGTTTCTACGATCACTTCAAAATTTAGGCCTTTTAGTTGTTAGTCCTAGTAAATCCCCCAAGTAGCGTATTTTTGTGGAACAAGGCCCCCCCAATCCAACACACTCTCCCCCATTTAACCAATCATAATGTTGAAAATTCTCCATTCCCTTCTAGTCTATTTTCCCTCTACTACTCTCAAATCGCACAAAATCTAAGAGAGTTTAATTGTTAATTGTATTATCCATGGGTACTTGTAAACATACAAAATAATGTTGCAAAATATCATTCAATATCAGAAAAAGTAATAACACCACGAATTGACCAAAACAATCAACCACACCTCACAGCTCAAAAAATGGTATTTTTCCAATCCCAACTTTTTCATCAAATCTGAAAGGAAGGCAGAAGAGATCATAGTTGAGACTCAGTGAAGAAGTAATAACACTGAAAATCAACCACAACAACCAATCAACCACGCATCACAACTAAAAATTATATTTTCTCAATCCTTACGTTTTAAAATTGAGAGGAAGTGAGAAGACTGAACTTGAAATAACTTAAACTCTTCTCTAATTACAAAACCATATAATTCAAACTCAAGGGACCAATGTTAGGATCTTCTCTGAATTTATTTTCAATGAAACATGTACCTGCATCAAATAATATCTAATAGGTCTCTCCATATCTATCTATCTCAATCTAAAGTAATGGAAAATGTAGAGAATAATAGGCAGATTAGGGCAAACAAATTCCTCTATTTTTGTTCCTTTTAAGACAAAAGAAATTACCTTGCCTCTGGCTTTGGATTTGAGCCCATGAACAACAGTTAAATCGAGATGGTCTCTAAAGATAGTTGAAGAGAAAGCGATAGCAGCGTTTGGTGTTGATGGTGATGATGGCTAACCCATCCATTCAAATGTCGACTGTTGTTCTTCCCTTTGTGGATCTTCCGAGAATTCCAATTTTGCAGAGCATTTGGGGGGGAAATTTTTCTTAGATTTGAAAGAACGAACCAAATTGGGTTAGGGAAATGGCTATCAACAGTGATATACGTAAAGCCATTGTAGAAAAACCAGTTTGAATCAAATACGTGTTGATTATCGTCACAATGAGGGAGGAAAAACAAGGGTTTGCTTTGCGAGAAGAGAAATAGAGGCATTGCAAGAAATCAAAGCAATAATCTCCAGATATCTTGTGAACAGTTAAACCTGTTCATGAAAAGTGGAACCAGCTAGGCGTGAAATGTCGTGTGACATGAATGAACAGCACACCCCCAAAGCCTCTCTTTTAAGAGAGAGAAGAGATGTAAATTTTCATAAATGCTACTTGGACAGGTTAAAATACAGGGTAGAAAACAGGGATTTGAAAAATCTGGCGTGACATAATTTTTTTGGAGGGAAGCTTTGCACAGTGGACTGGACCGGTTTGGATTAACCCTCATTTTTTTATAAGGAAAAAATCTCATTGGATCCCAGTTCATCCCACTCATTTGCAGGGTAGAAAAAATCTCCCTGTTCAAAATCCATAGAAAAATCAGCCTCAAATAAATCTGTTTTCGTTGGTGAAGAAATCGTTTTGCTCCAAATTGAAATCAAGAAGTCCATTGGTAAACCATCTTGGGCTTTTCCTTTTAATCTTCTGGATTTTGACGTTTGGATCTTTGCAAGATTATTCGTTAAGCTTTGTTATTTTAAGGATAAATGTTTCAGTGCTTTAATGATTTCGGAAGTTCGCAAACAAAGATAATAGGGAGAAATTCTGCAGTTTCATTTCTTTTCACTCTCCAATGTTTAGAGGAGTAATTTCTGCTTCTATTTTGAGAATTGATTTTGAGAGCCTGGAAAATGAGTTACTTCTCATGTAATAGATTTAGCAACTTTGGATAACTCACCATCGAATACATGTGCAAGAGATGCAGCTGGAACTTCAGTTAGACAGTTAGAATAGTTGGAGATAGTATGATCTAGTCCACGGGTCAATTGTGTATAGTTAATACAGCTGGAGTTAGTTAGAATTTGTTGAGAAGCTGTTGAATAATTCACGTCATTTGTCTATTTATACACAGCAAAATGTAATGTACATTCAACTTTTTGGAACACAATTAAGTTCTTCTTCCTTCTTCATTTTTGTTTAATATCATGTTTTTTCCACTAAGAAACCAGGCAGCAATGAAGACATACTAATAGCTGAGGTCAAAGGTATCAGTACTTTCGACAAATGTACGCGAGCTACACTTCAGTGGCGGGTTTTTGCAGCTCAATTATACGGTCCGAATAAGTGTGAAGAAGAGTGAAGATCAATTTTTTAGGGGCTTTGAGGAACCTAAGAAAATCACACTTTGGCTGAGACCGAACAGCAACCCGACGACAACATTTTGGTTTATTTTGTGATAGTAGATGTATTTTGAACTATTTGTTTCACTTCACTTCTTCAGTTGTGTTATAAAGATCACTTCAGGCTGCTACTAAATGCATTTTATACCTTCGGGAAATGGAACTTCAGTGAGAAATGCAAATAATTAAATTACAATAAGCAATTGACATTGATAACCTTGAGTAGCAGGTTTTTTATGTTTGAAGATGACACAGGCTTTGACACATATAATTACATTACATTACATCAAATTGCTCACCTTGTGCCTCAACCATTACTGCCATGTCGAGAAACATCTGGTGAAGCTCCAGTAGACTCTTCTCTATTTCCTTGGTCGCGTCATAATGGTCTTGGATCTCCACCCCCATTTCTACTTTCTAGCACCTTCCCCTGCCGTGCTCCTAGAGACATTATAGTCACTACATCAAGAAAGTTAATATAAATGTCGGCAATTAGTCTAAAATTGAGATCGAAAGTTCGAAAATTGAGGAAATTATTTAGGAAAGATCAAGTTGGAGAGATTATCTATGACAAAAATGTAGAGCTAAATACCTGTATTGCTTTAGACAGAAATTTCTCGCCACTGCGGTCTGCTATGGCTCCACGTTCGATGAACCGGAGATGGAAGGAAACAGGGATTTTGAGCTTTTGATTTCTGAGGTTTCAATTGTCGGAGACACAATTTTTTTCTTTACCCATTTCTCCCACTTCTACTCGGATGTCGACCTGTTTGGTTGGTCTGCTATGGCGACACATTCGGTGAACGTGCGGCATGATGACAGAGATGAAGGGCTTGGATTTGGATTTTGGGTCTCCTTCCAGTTCGACTTTGGGAGGGAGAAGCTGAAATACAGGGTTTACATTTATCAAACCTTTTTTTTTTTTTTTTTTTCCTTATGCCATGTCACATTTTCAAATGCCTGTTTTCGACCCTGTATTTCAGCCTGTCCCTGTAGCCCCATTGATAAACTTTTATCATTGAAAAAATAATAGAATAACTGTATTTCTGGATGAAAGTTCAAAATGAAGATCGACAGCAATTTTTTCTTTAAAAGAAACATGGGCAGGATCATGCTTTCAGAGTCCATCTTCAGTAGTGTGTCGGTATCAATAGAAAATAAAAATTCATGGGCCATATATTAAATCTGGTAGGTACTTAGAGGTTAGGTTCAACTCCTCTCAAGTATGTACTTTTATTTTTCGTGATTAATACGTATAATGATTTAAAAAAAGAAAAAAAAAAATCACGCTATTGAACAGTGAAGTTGGCTGTAGTTGTTGTGCACTCTCATTGAACTATCTTGTCCTAAAGTTTAACTATTAAAATGAGTATATGTTTGTTTAAATCTTGTTTTTAACACATCCTTGTGACATCATTTTTCAGTCATAGGCATTATACATGCACATTTTCTTAAAACTGGACTTTGCTTGCTCTCGTTGAAAGGAAAAAAAATATTTATTTAAATAATTAAATCTTACCTCGAGCCACGTCTAAATATATATATATATATCTCACTTTGTGGCCAGTTTTTTATGCAGTGAGTGATTAGCTTGCAATTTGACATGGCAGTTGGGCTGGATATTCAAAGTGATGGCAGGGAATATGCTGGCAAGATTACAGGATTTCTGGTTTTATCTTGCATGATTGCTGCTACTGGAGGAATAATCTATGGTTATGACCTTGGAATTTCAGGTTTTTTATCTACTTGTTTCTTGTCTACCATTGATGAACTGATTGAATTAAATACTGAATGAAAATAATTTGAAGTGTTTGATTAAATTCTATATGCTCGTGTGAAGGTGGGTTGACCTCAATGGAATCATTTCTGAAGGAATTCTTTCCACAAGTATACGACAAAATGAAGGAAGATACGAAGATAAGCAACTATTGCAAATTTGATAGCCAACTGTTGACACTTTTCACTTCCTCTCTCTATATAGCTGGTCTTATTGCCTCTTTCTTTGCTTCGCCGGTCACTAGGACCTTTGGTCGGAAGATATCAATCTTGATTGGTGGAACGGCATTGATAGCCGGTGCTACCCTTGGTGGAGCGTCTTATAATATTTACATGCTATTGCTTGGTCGTGTTTTGCTCGGTATTGGTCTGGGTTATACAAATCAGGTAATTAGACAGTGTTGTGTTGTGTTGTGTTGTGTTGTGTGACATTTTAGCAATCTAGTAATCTTAGTGACTAGTATTATGTTGAGTGCGTTATTTAAACACGAGTCCTTGTCTATCACCTTCAACATTTATATCAAGTGGTTCAAATTATATTAGAGCAGGTAAAGCCATAAAGGTTCCGGGCTCTAGTCACGCTGCCACCCGTATATAAAGAAATTGTGCCCGTTGGAAGGCTTTAATTGGAAAATAATGAACTCTGCCCTCATGTTAAGGGATACTCGACCCTCTTTAATCACTTATTCGTTCTTCTGTTTCCTTTGGCCTAAACAATATACCATAAATGGAGAAGAAATGGGAACAAAGCGTCTAAGCAGGAAATAGTATTAGGGAATTCGTTGAAACCAGAAACAGGTTTACTCAGAAAAGAAGTACAAACCAGAAGGGCTAATCCGACCTAATCGTACCATGTGAGCCTTCAAAAAAGTGTTCTAGGTGAAAAAAAATACTCTCTAGCTAGAAATGCTGATAGCAAATAGTATTGTAAAAATGCAGTGGTTCCCTTTTGATGCTCAAACAGAAATATATAAATCTAAAGAAACTTTTTCGAGAATCTTATATTTAGAATTTCAATAAATTTACTATAGAGTAAAAGACAAAAACAATTGTTTCACCTGGTTTATGAAACTAAATATTAATCTCACATCTATTATCTGCAGGCAATTCCATTATACCTCTCAGAAATGGCACTCTCCAAATACAGAGGAGCTTTCAACACTGGTTTTCAAATCTGTCTTAACATTGGTTTTATACTAGCCACATTCATAAACTATTGTGCTGTTAAAATCGGAGGAGGTTGGGGTTGGCGAATTTCATTAGCAATGGCTGCAGCCCCTGCTGCAATTCTGACTATTGGGGCGTTTTTCCTCCCGGAGACACCAAATAGCCTAATTGAGCACGAAAATGATCACGAAAAGGCCAAACGAATGCTGCAAAGAATCCGAGGTGTTGATGATGTCCAAGTAGAACTAGACGATCTCATAAAAGCAAGTAATGCTTCAAAGTCTGTCAAACACCCGTTTAAGAATCTGTTGCAAAGAAAATATAGGCCTCAACTCGTTATGTCAATAGCAATTCCGTTCTTCCTACAAGTGAATTTATTTTCAATGAAACATGTACCTGCATCAAATAATATCTAATAGGTCTCTCCATATCTATCTATCTCAATCTAAAGTAATGGAAAATGTAGAGAATAATAGGCAGATTAGGGCAAACAAATTCCTCTATTTTTGTTCCTTTTAAGACAAAAGAAATTACCTTGCCTCTGGCTTTGGATTTGAGCCCATGAACAACAGTTAAATCGAGATGGTCTCTAAAGATAGTTGAAGAGAAAGCGATAGCAGCGTTTGGTGTTGATGGTGATGATGGCTAACCCATCCATTCAAATGTCGACTGTTGTTCTTCCCTTTGTGGATCTTCCGAGAATTCCAATTTTGCAGAGCATTTGGGGGGGAAATTTTTCTTAGATTTGAAAGAACGAACCAAATTGGGTTAGGGAAATGGCTATCAACAGTGATATACGTAAAGCCATTGTAGAAAAACCAGTTTGAATCAAATACGTGTTGATTATCGTCACAATGAGGGAGGAAAAACAAGGGTTTGCTTTGCGAGAAGAGAAATAGAGGCATTGCAAGAAATCAAAGCAATAATCTCCAGATATCTTGTGAACAGTTAAACCTGTTCATGAAAAGTGGAACCAGCTAGGCGTGAAATGTCGTGTGACATGAATGAACAGCACACCCCCAAAGCCTCTCTTTTAAGAGAGAGAAGAGACGTAAATTTTCAAAAATGCTACTTGGACAGGTTAAAATACAGGGTAGAAAACAGGGATTTGAAAAATCTGGCGTGACATAATGTTTTTGGAGGGAAGCTTTGCACAGTGGACTGGACCGGTTTGGATTAACCCTCATTTTTTTATAAGGAAAAAATCTCATTGGATCCCAGTTCATCCCACTCATTTGCAGGGTAGAAAAAATCTCCCTGTTCAAAATCCATAGAAAAATCAGCCTCAAATAAATCTGTTTTCGTTGGTGAAGAAATCGTTTTGCTCCAAATTGAAATCAAGAAGTCCATTGGTAAACCATCTTGGGCTTTTCCTTTTAATCTTCTGGATTTTGACGTTTGGATCTTTGCAAGATTATTCGTTAAGCTTTGTTATTTTAAGGATAAATGTTTCAGTGCTTTAATGATTTCGGAAGTTCGCAAACAAAGATAATAGGGAGAAATTCTGCAGTTTCATTTCTTTTCACTCTCCAATGTTTAGAGGAGTAATTTCTGCTTCTATTTTGAGAATTGATTTTGAGAGCCTGGAAAATGAGTTACTTCTCATGTAATAGATTTAGCAACTTTGGATAACTCACCATCGAATACATGTGCAAGAGATGCAGCTGGAACTTCAGTTAGACAGTTAGAATAGTTGGAGATAGTATGATCTAGTCCACGGGTCAATTGTGTATAGTTAATACAGCTGGAGTTAGTTAGAATTTGTTGAGAAGCTGTTGAATAATTCACGTCATTTGTCTATTTATACACAGCAAAATGTAATGTACATTCAACTTTTTGGAACACAATTAAGTTCTTCTTCCTTCTTCATTTTTGTTTAATATCATGTTTTTTCCACTAAGAAACCAGGCAGCAATGAAGACATACTAATAGCTGAGGTCAAAGGTATCAGTACTTTCGACAAATGTACGCGAGCTACACTTCAGTGGCGGGTTTTTGCAGCTCTATTATACGGTTCGACTAAGTGTGAAGAAGAGTGAAGATCAATTTTTTAGGGGCTTTGAGGAACCAAAGAAAATCACACTTTGGCTAAGACCGAACAGCAACCCGACGACAACATTTTGGTTTATTTTGTGATAGTAGATGTATTTTGAACTATTTGTTTCACTTCACTTCTTCAGTTGTGTTATAAAGATCACTTCAGGCTGCTACTAAATGCATTTTATACCTTCGGGAAATGGAACTTCAGTGAGAAATGCAAATAATTAAATTACAATAAGCAATTGACATTGATAACCTTGAGTAGCAGGTTTTTTATGTTTGAAGATGACACAGGCTTTGACACATATAATTACATTACATTACATCAAATTGCTCACCTTGTGCCTCAACCATTACTGCCATGTCGAGAAACATCTGGTGAAGCTCCAGTAGACTCTTCTCTATTTCCTTGGTCGCGTCATAATGGTCTTGGATCTCCACCCCCATTTCTACTTTCTAGCACCTTCCCCTGCCGTGCTCCTAGAGACATTATAGTCACTACATCAAGAAAGTTAATATAAATGTCGGCAATTAGTCTAAAATTGAGATCGAAAGTTCGAAAATTGAGGAAATTATTTAGGAAAGATCAAGTTGGAGAGATTATCTATGACAAAAATGTAGAGCTAAATACCTGTATTGCTTTAGACAGAAATTTCTCGCCACTGCAGTCTGCTATGGCTTCACGTTCGATGAACCGGAGATGGAAGGAAACAGGGATTTTGAGCTTTTGATTTCTGAGGTTTCAATTGTGGGAGACACAATTTTTTTCTTTACCCATTTCTCCCACTTCTACTCGGATGTCGACCTGTTTGGTTGGTCTGCTATGGCGACACATTCGGTGAACGTGCGGCATGATGACAGAGATGAAGGGCTTGGATTTGGATTTTGGGTCTCCTTCCAGTTCGACTTTGGGAGGGAGAAGCTGAAATACAGGGTTTACATTTATCAAACCTTTTTTTTTTTTTTTTTTCCTTATGCCATGTCACATTTTCAAATGCCTGTTTTCGACCCTGTATTTCAGCCTGTCCCTGTAGCCCCATTGATAAACTTTTATCATTGAAAAAATAATAGAATAACTGTATTTCTGGATGAAAGTTCAAAATGAAGATCGACAGCAATTTTTTCTTTAAAAGAAACATGGGCAGGATCATGCTTTCAGAGTCCATCTTCAGTAGTGTGTCGGTATCAATAGAAAATAAAAATTCATGGGCCATATATTAAATCTGGTAGGTACTTAGAGGTTAGGTTCAACTCCTCTCAAGTATGTACTTTTATTTTTCGTGATTAATACGTATAATGATTTAAAAAAAGAAAAAAAAATCACGCTATCGAACAGTGAAGTTGGCTGTAGTTGTTGTGCACTCTCATTGAACTATCTTGTCCTAAAGTTTAACTATTAAAATGAGTATATGTTTGTTTAAATCTTGTTTTTAACACATCCTTGTGACATCATTTTTCAGTCATAGGCATTATACATGCACATTTTCTTAAAACTGGACTTTGCTTGCTCTCGTTGAAAGGAAAAAAAATATTTATTTAAATAATTAAATCTTACCTCGAGCCACGTCTAAATATATATATATCTCACTTTGTGGCCAGTTTTTTATGCAGTGAGTGATTAGCTTGCAATTTGACATGGCAGTTGGGCTGGATATTCAAAGTGATGGCAGGGAATATGCTGGCAAGATTACAGGATTTCTGGTTTTATCTTGCATGATTGCTGCTACTGGAGGAATAATCTATGGTTATGACCTTGGAATTTCAGGTTTTTTATCTACTTGTTTCTTGTCTACCATTGATGAACTGATTGAATTAAATACTGAATGAAAATAATTTGAAGTGTTTGATTAAATTCTATATGCTCGTGTGAAGGTGGGTTGACCTCAATGGAATCATTTCTGAAGGAATTCTTTCCACAAGTATACGACAAAATGAAGGAAGATACGAAGATAAGCAACTATTGCAAATTTGATAGCCAACTGTTGACACTTTTCACTTCCTCTCTCTATATAGCTGGTCTTATTGCCTCTTTCTTTGCTTCGCCGGTCACTAGGACCTTTGGTCGGAAGATATCATTCTTTCTTTCATTTTCTTTTATTTATGATTTATCTATTTAACTTATTTAATTAATGGGATAATATTCAAGTTACTATTTTGCCCTTACTAATATGGTCAAAATTGGAATCAAAGTCAGTTCTTTGGTCAACTAACGGTGAAATGGATGGATTCCATCCATCTAAACTTCGGTTGCATATTTATGAAAGGTTTGGGACCTTCGCTGGTACAAAATGAAAGTCTAGGCAAAGTCTGCTAATAAACGAAAGATTTGGTACCGCTACTGCAATTTTCCCTAGAATAAAATATACAAAATGATAGTGACAGGTGGATGACGATTGACAAGCACACAAATAATAATAATAATAATTTAGTCAATCCAAGAAGCCATGTCCCCACACATCTAAAATGGCAAACCAAAATATTTATTTTAATTATTAACAGTGCCCTAATTTTAATTTAATTTGGGTCGGTTCCAACTTCAAAATCATGTTTTATTATTATTTATTTATTTATTATTTTGTGTGGGGCTATCCGATTGGTTGCCTAACGCTTCGACAGTTAAGATAAATTTGACTATTGTTGCCAAATGGAGACTTTTCATGGCCAATTTTTCCTTTGGTTACAGGGAAAAACATCTAGTGAAGCTCCAGTAGACTCTTCTCTATTTCCTTGGCCGCGTCATGATGTTCTTGGATCTCCACCCCCATTTCTACTTTCTAGCACCTTCCCTTGCCGTGCTCCTAGAAACATTATAGTCGTTACATCAAGAAAGTTAATATAAATGTTGGCAATTAGTCTAAAATTGAGATCGAAAGTTTGAAAATTGAGGAAATTATTTAGGAAAGATCAAGTTGGAGAGATTATCTATGACAAAAATGTAGAGCTAAATACCTGTATTGCTTTAGACAGAAATTTCTCGCCACTGCGGTCTGCTATGGCTCCACGTTCGATGAACCGGAGATGGAAGGAAACAGGGATTTTGAGCTTTTGATTTCTGAGGTTTCAATTGTCGGAGACACAATTTTTTTCTTTACCCATTTCTCCCACTTCTACTCGGATGGCGACCTGTTTGGTTGGTCTGCTATGGCGCCACATTCGGTGAACGCGCGGCATTATGACAGAGATGAAGGGCTTGGATTTGGATTTTGGGTCTCCATCCGGTTCGACGTTGGGAGGGAGAAGCTGAAATACAGGGTTTACATTTATCAACCCCTTTTTTATTGCCATGTCACATTTTAAAATGCCCTTTTTCGACCCTGTATTTCAGCCTGTCCGTGTAGCCCCATTGATAAACTTTTATCATTGAAAATATAATTAAATTACTGTAGTTCTGGATGAAAGTTCAAAATCAAGATCAACAGCAATTTTTTCTTTAAAAGAAACATGGGCAGGATCATGCTTTCAGAGTCCATCTTCAGTAGTGTGTCGGTATCAATAGAAAATAAAAATTCATGGGCCATATATTAAATCTGGTGGGTACTTAGAGGTTAGGTTCAACTCCTCTCAAGTATGTACTTTCATTTTTCGTGATTAATACGTATAATGATTTAAAAAAAGAAAAAAAAAAATCACGCTATTGAACAGTGAAGTTGGCTGTAGTTGTTGTGCACTCTCATTGAACTATCTTGTCCTAAAGTTTAACTATTAAAATGAGTATATGTTAAATGCCTGTTTTCGACCCTGTATTTCAGCCTGTCCCTGTAGCCCCATTGATAAACTTTTATCATTGAAAAAATAATAGAATAACTGTATTTCTGGATGAAAGTTCAAAATGAAGATCGACAGCAATTTTTTCTTTAAAAGAAACATGGGCAGGATCATGCTTTCAGAGTCCATCTTCAGTAGTGTGTCGGTATCAATAGAAAATAAAAATTCATGGGCCATATATTAAATCTGGTAGGTACTTAGAGGTTAGGTTCAACTCCTCTCAAGTATGTACTTTTATTTTTCGTGATTAATACGTATAATGATTTAAAAAAAGAAAAAAAAATCACGCTATCGAACAGTGAAGTTGGCTGTAGTTGTTGTGCACTCTCATTGAACTATCTTGTCCTAAAGTTTAACTATTAAAATGAGTATATGT